GACAGTGAGTCTTTGCTTGTGGCATTCCTTTCATCTGGAATGTGCCTCCTCTTTTATTTTCTCCTTTCTTCACATAGTGAAATGTTTTCCACATTCAAGGCCCAGCTACCCCAAACTTACGAGAGCTCTCTTCTCTGTTTCCACAGTCCTTTATACATAATTCTATGACACTGTCATTGCTTTACAAGTTATCTTCTCCAGCAGATTCAGAGCTTCTTAGGGTTAGGGACCCTACCTTACTCATCTTTGCATTTACCCAAGCCTAGTACTCTGGTTTTTGCTGATTTAAGAGAAGTCCATTGAGTAATATGCAGCAGGCACAATTTTAAGGTACTAGAGGCTAAAATAAATAAGACCCCTGAGTCCATTGGAGCTCATTATCTAGTGGTTGAGAGGTAGACAATAAACATGTAACAACAAAAAAGATTATTTTAAATGATAAATATTATAGAGAAAGTCATATAAGATAAAGGCAGTGAGTACAAGACACATTCAGGGTGAGGCTTCTCTGAGGTTGTGATGTTGAGCTGAGATGACCAGAGGAGTGATCTAGAGAGACAGCATTCTAGGAGAGGAGATGGCACATGGATAGTGTTAAGACAGAAATGAGCCAGTGTGGTGGCACACACCTGTAATCCCAGCAGCTCAGGAGGCTGAGGTAGGAGGATCGCCAGTTCAAAACCAGCATCAGCAACAGCGAGGTGCTAAGCAACTAGTGAGACCCTGTCTCTAAATAAATACAAAATAGGGCTGGGGATGTGGTTCCGTGGGCGAAAGCACCTGAGTTCAATCCCTGTTTCCAAAAAAAGAGAGATTCAGAAATGATAGCATGCTGCAGAGCTGAAAGAATGCCAGCATGGCTAGAGAAGAATGAGTGAGGAGAAAAATTGTGAAAGTAGGCCAAGTTCAGATCACAAAGAACCTTAAAAGACCAGACAAGAAGTATTTTAATTCTAAGTTTAACAGGAAGTCATTGGAAGGTTTTAAGCCTTTCTTATATTTTTAAAGAAGTCACTCTTCTGACTGTATAGAGAACAAATTTCAAAGTATGGGAAAATAAGTCATTCACGTGGATGCTTGATTCACATTTAGTATTGGTTATTATATATATTTATCATTAAATGAGTATTTATTAATCATATGTCTATCTACCATTCTGAATTTATCTTTGCTATAACAATCAAGATAAATGAGCTATTTGCTGTAAAGGCTCTTTTTATCTGTGCCAGATGTGTAAATATCAAGCTTTCAGAAGATAAAAATATACTAAAAAGCCCCACCTTTTAGGGTGTGCCCCAATTTAGGCCAGGGAACAGAATCAACTACATGCCCCAGATCTTGACTTCAGTACCACTGATAAGTTGAAACATGAAAAATACTGGCACTAGAAATGGTGGTATGAAGTGTTTGCAAAACAGATTATTTCCTGAGGATGTCATTGTTTCCAGTCTCCAGTAGTAGCCCCCAGAACCTAGGCAAAAGCATATCCATTGCTATAAGTTAGTGATACTTTTTTAAAAAGATGTTGATGGACCTTTATTTTATTCATTATTTATATGCAGTGCTGAGAATCGAACCCAGTGCCTCACACATGCTAGGCAAGCACTCTATCACTGAGCCACAACTCTAGCCCAGTGATATCAGAGCTTATGCACATACTATTCCTTCTGCCTGGAAGACGCTCCCCATCTGCTCTTAGCTTTTTTTTTTTTTATTCTTGTGATGCTGGAGATCCAGCCCAGGCCTCCTGCATGCTAGGCAAATGCTCTACTACTGAGCCACATCCCCAGCTTCCCTGATGGTAACTCAGCTTAAAAAGTTAATACCTCTGACAGGCCTTCCTCAAATCAAATCCCAAACCTAAATTAAGTTTCTTTTCATAGAACCCTGTACTTTTCTTTCAATGTTTTTATTATTTGTAACTTTGAATTTGTTTGTGGGGTCATTCTTTTAATGGCTCTTCATACTTGCAAATCCTTGCAACCATCAGATTGTAAATTCCAGGGATCCAATTAATTCGTTCATCACTTCTTCCAGAGTGCCTGGTGCGAAATACCTTTAATGAATAGTTTCCAAGTGAAAATATGTCTCCTTGTACCAGAGAGGTGAAGGACTCCCTTAGCTGTGTCCGTTTTATAAAGTACTCCTCCTCTGCACTTGCATTACCTTCAACAAGAAAGTGGAGTTCAGAGAGATAATGGAGCAATTATTTGCAGATTCATGTTCTTAATCTTCTAGAGTTTCTTAATCTCATCACTATTAATCTTTTGGTCTGGGTAGTTATTTGAACGTGGAGGGATGTCCTGTTCATTATAGCATGTTTAGCTGCATCCTGGGCCTTTACCCACCAGATTCCAGGACTCTCAAAAATGTCTACAAATATTGCACCACGCCTGAAAAATCACTGCTGGTTGATAACCATTATTTTAAAGTGGGAAACTTCAGGTCTTTTTCTTTTTTAGAAGAATTACATTTGGAAATTCCAGTTGTTGTTTGATGCCTGGGTTACAAGAGAATTCTGTCAACCTAGTTAGATCAAAATCATGCCCATTTCTATCTATTTCCATAGCACTCCCTGTGTTTCCTTTGAAAGGGCCATTAGTGATGGTCTAATTCAGGGCAATATCCTGATCTTGGAAATTCAGCTCCCTGGACTGTCTTAGAAGGATGAAGGAAAGGGGTGGTGTTTCTGAGGAAACCAATGCTTCTAAGACCCCCTCGGGAATTGGCAGTCCCCTACAACTTTTCTAGGGGCATGTCCCAGAGGACAATAAAAGGGAGACAAACAGCCTATTCTGGCATGCTTTTCAGGATCTCTCACTCCAAACAAGAAAGTCTGAGAGGCCTGGTAAAAATAAATATGGCTTAGTCCTCCTGGCACAAGCGCAGTTTCTGACAGCCAAGACTTAACTCACTCTAGGGGGTGACCCCAGCAGGGACTTTGCACAAAGTTAGCTTCTACCCATTGATATTCCCAGTGACTCACAGCAGCCAAAGATGGCATGATGCACCAGAACTGTCCTGGACCATGCAGAAGAACTTGGGATGCACACAGAAAACACAGTCCCTCTTGCCTGAGTTAGACAGGGACAGGAAGCCTCCTCCTTCCTCTCCAATTTCAGAAAAATAACACAAATCATGCCTCTGGAAAGGAACCTGTCCTTTGCATACAGAGTGGAAACTGTTTATAAATTCTTAATCCCCTGACATTGAAAGTATGGGGACCTTGTGTCCCGGCTTTTTTGGGGACAAATATATTCAGTATAGCACATGTCAGTGGTTTTCATTTGGAACAAAATATGGTGTCCAGAATCACAAGGTCTTTCTCAACAGGTTTAAAAAGCAAGTCTTTATTTCAGCATATATTAAAACCCTTAGATCAACCACGAACTGCATTAGAAAGGAAGAGAAGGCTAAGGAATTCCTCTATTTTCACTTTTTTCTCCTTGGATTTTAGGCTAAGGTGACCCATGTAGAATAGACAGGTCTACTGTTTTTCCCAAGCACTTAGATCTTACAGACCTGGCCTGACTCTTCTGCCGCCTTCAGTCAGCAAGAAGAACTACAAACCCAGAAAATGCCACTGTATTAGTTACCATGGTGATGCTAGTTCAACCACATTGCATCTGGATAAAAATTTCAGGCAAAACAGTATAAAAAGATACTGACTAAGAAAGAGTTAACATCACTTTTGCTGCTGTAACTGTCACAAAGTATGGTTAATGTTAGCTTTGGTCAAAGATGGTAATTTGGAGTGAAAGCCTTGAAAATTTGAAAATAAGCAAGGATGAAATGTCAACCCATCCATTTTGAAAAATATCCTAATATCCATTTTGCACTATACCAAATTATTTTCAGCTCACTTGGGGTATCTGGGTCTTTTGGGCATTTTGGTGATAGGAAAGAGATTTAATGAAATCCACAGATGAGCCAAAGCCAGGAAACACTGGCATATCAGCTTGGAGGGAAAAGTGATACCTTGGCCTTAAGAAAGTTGGGGACTTGGGCAAAGATAACGAAATGAGATCCAACCTAGAAAAATCGAAGGTGGCAAAATTAATCCATACTGTTAATATTCATTAGGGAGAGGGCTAGGTCACAAAACTGAGAGGTTTTTACAATTATGTAGGAACCCGAATGTTAAAGATTGCTGGAAGTTCCTTCTGCAGTCAGAGGCTGGGAGATTGCTGAGGTCTTGGGGGAGTGCAATTCTAAGTAAGGACTCATTTCCTTACTCCCTCCCTCCCTTGCCAAGATCAGAAAGTCAAAGAAGGTGAAAAGGCTAACGACATTGATTTACAAAGACAGCGAGGAGGAACTAAGTCTGTCTGAGCCAAATCTGGACGTCTGAGCTGAGGCGACAGGACCCAGACAACTACCTCAGGAAATGAGTAAATGAAAAGGGGAGGTCGCGGAATTATTTAGCCCTAGAACAACACTGCCTAGACCAGAGGAGAGGCGGGGGTGCAAGTAGAAAATCTCAGAAAAGGAATTTTGACAGTGAGAATGCTAGTTAAGATAGAGCCCGACAGGCCCCCCTGATGGCCCTTGTTTGATGTCAATAAAGACCTAGAGGATTACGCATTAGCAAGCCTTCCGTATTCTGGGACATCAATAAAGTCTGGACTTGGGGCCGGTAGGGTGCTGGGGTCACGTCCAGGCGACTTGGGTCAGCCCGGGTGCTCCTCCCTGGCGTGGAGCCAGGGTGAACGGAGTCTGAGAGTTGTGTCTAGGATAATAATAATTATTTTTTTTAAAAAATTGGGGACATTTGAGCAGTAGTAATGGGGTCAGAGAAAGAGAGTCTTTCGATGGCTAGGAATGTGGGGGTGGCTTGAGGAGGAGAGGGGCCCGAGCCTGAGGTGCCCACGGGTGGGGTCTGAGGACTGGGGGGCGGGAGCCGAGGGCTGGAAGGGGCCGGGCCAGCGTTGGAGGCGGGACCAGGCGCGGTGGCGGTGGCGGGGGCTCGGCGCGGGGGGCGGGGCGGCAGGGCCCGGGACACCCCCTCCCTGTCCCCTGGCGGGGCGGCTTCGGCTCTAGCAGCACTGGAGGCTGCAGCGGCCGGAGGGCGACTTGCGGGGCGCGCGGACCGTGGCGGACCCGGGACGCTTCCCTCCCGGGACCCCTCCTCTGACTCCCTACGCCGCGCCGTCCCGCAGGAGTCAGCGGGACCCCCGGCCGGCAGGGAGCGCCGGCGGCGGCCGCGGCACCATGAGGCGGCTGTGGGGCGCGCTGCTGGTTGGCGCCCTGCTCTGTGCACACGGTAAGCTGTGTCGCCGCGCCCGCTCCGACCGGCCCATCGGGAAAGTTTGTCCCTGGGTCGGGCAGCTGCAGGACTCACCTCCCGGGAGCCCAAGGGCGCAGGCTGGGACTGAAACCCCTCGCGCTCACTCCAAGAAGTGGCCCTGAAATTGCATGCTGGGGGTGGAACCAGGAGCTCCCCCAGCTCCTCAAGTGCGAGAGGGGACAGTGGTGGAGGAGCTCCTCCGGGCTCCGGTCTGGGCCGGGTGGGATAAGACTGGAGGCGCTCGCTTGCCTTCTTAGCTGCTCTTTAAAGAGCTGGGGGCTGCTTCCCTTTCAGGTTAAGACAGGGTCTCTGTGTCCTTGGTGCGAATGAATGTGTGCAAAGAAAGGGAGGCGGGGAGGGCGGTCGCTAAACCCATAAATTGTAAATAGCTCTCCTCCCGGGGGCTGAGGGTCTCGTGTGGGTTGCGGAGAGGGGCCTCGGTGGAATCTAAGTACTTGGGCACCGGGAATTCCTCTACTCGGGAACAAATCCCCCAGACCCGGCTCTCACTGAGGGTCTTCGGGCATTGCTTGCTCGCAGCATCTCCCCTTAGTGGTGTTTTGGGTTCCCTCTCCTGGCTGCGGCCAATCAGCTTCCTGCCCCGGATCCTCCCCAGGGGAGGGGTGGGGGGAGAGGATTGGAAAAGGGGCTGAGGAGGAACTTTGGGAAGGAACTGCTGGAAGACTCCCGCAGATCCGTCCTGGCTGGGGCTGGGGGCAGGGGGCGGGTGTTGCTGAACCTCAGAAGGCAGCAGCCTCTTGGCCCTCGCGGTGGGGCCTCGGCCTCAGGGGAGCTGGGCGGATGGGATCAGGACTGCTGCTTCATCTGCTCCTTATTAATAACGTGTTCGGTGCCCGTTCGCAACTGTTGGAGTGTGTGATTAGGACTCCAGTGGCATCTGCTTCTTCGCCGCCGCTTACGACCTGGGTGCACCCCGTGATAGAGCAGCTGCCTCTAAGTTTGTGCCCAAAGATCAAAGAACTTTGATCTCTGAGCCCCAGCTCATTCACCCACCGCTCTTCAGTGCGGGGGAGATCCGAATCTTCTAGTTCTCCTGGCTGCCCGGATGAGGGGGTGGGGTTCAGAACCCAGGGGTCTGCAGACTGTGGCCTTGCACCGCTTCTTTCTTTAAGGTAGAGGAGCTCGTGTGGAAACTGTGCAGATTTCGGAACTTGCCTGGCAGGGCGTGGAGATGTCTGGGCACTTGCTTTAAAGATTGTTTTATGTCCGGAATCCAAAACGGAGTTCTCATGCCTATTATTTAAACTATCCATGAGTTTTCAGTGGCTTTTTCCAATCCTCTCTAGCGCCGATTGAGCCCTTTCTGAGAAGTGGTAGCCTGGCCGACCCACGTTCCTCTTAGCTCTGCGCTCTCCCCCTCCCGGGCTCTCTCCTAGAAGGTTATTTGTAGCCTCTTCGGCGTGTCGGGACAGCAGCCCTACTGGGGTAGGAATGTAGCTGTTCTTCCCACCACATGGGCCCCTTAAAGGGACAGCTATACTTTTTGGGGGGTTTCCCCCTTCGGGCTGCAAGGAAAGGGGATGGAACTTTCCTCCCGGCCCCCTGGAGGAAGTTTTGAAAAAGATCAAGGGAAA